CCCTTCCTACCAGTGGCCAAGTCTCTTCACATACCGACAAACACGAATTGTTGGTGCCGTGACAGCAAGGGCTCATCAAACCGTATGCGGAGGTCAGCAGTCCTTTATCCGTGCTGTGTGACTCCATGCACAAGCAGATGGTGCCCATGGCGACGACCAACCACAGTCCAAAAACCCCTCTCCGAGGACTTACTGACCTTTCATCGTGTCACCCTCCTATTTACCTATAATATGAATTGTATCTTTGATCCAAGAATTGTATATTGGTTCTGACTTTTAGTGGATAATGTGGCTGTTTGAATTGATGTAATTTGTGTTGGAAGAGAAATATTTTAAGTGATATATCTTAAGGATTTGACTCCCATGACGTGTGTTCGGATTGGGTTATGATAACGACAGCACGTGTTGCAGGCTACGCAACAAAGTTCATTTAACTCCTCCATAGGTAGCTCTATGTATTTTGAGACACGCACATATCTTTCTTCAAATAACTGAATATAGAAGAAAGTCAAGGGAACGAGAGAGAGAGAGAGAGAGAGAGAGAGGAGCCCACGGCTGTGTTGTCTTCGTTGCTGGACAAATCTGCCACCAAACAATAATGCATGGGAGGGGCTTGTGATGGAGTCGACAGGAAGAGGTCCTCAATCCCCCCACAGCTCTTCTGTAGCTAGCTAGTAAAGATGCAATCGCCGCTTGCTTCCCTTTTAACCACCCCATCGTGGTTTGGTTGCTTGCTTTAGTAGCCATCTTATGTTGTGCGATGTATCACTTTGTCCACATTTCAGCTTCCCCTCGCTATCTCTTAGCCTTCTGCGTTCCATATCACCGCTCCTGACTTCTCTGCTTCTTCTTTCAACTCAGCATTTATGTTGTTGCATCCCTGCGTCTGTAGGGAGATCAGGAAGGAAGGCGGAGGAGCAGCTGGGTTCCTAACCGGTGATGATGCTTGTTCTGAATGTATTTATTGCTCCGGGGGGGGTGGTGAGTAGCAGAATTTAAGAGAGAAGCCTGAACTATGCTTCGATCGTGAAGAGGAGAGGCAGAGGAGGAGCGGTCAGAGGTCGTTCGATCTGCTGCCTGGAGGAGCAGAGCAGCGGGAGTGGTCAAATTCACATCTGTTGCTGCTGCATTGCCTGCTGCTCCGATGGAGCAGCTACGAGGAGAACCCATTAATGATGCCCTTGTAAGCCCTCCCTCGAGTATCCCCAACCTTTGCTTTCGTTTATTGTTTTCCTTGTCACTTTCGCTCCTGGTCACATCTGCATGAAGAAGACCTATTTGCGGATAGAAGAACATCGATGTGTTATGGGATCCCACTTTTGGACATTCCATTCAATGCGATGCAAGTAATGATCGCTGAACATGCAATCTATATATGGCTAAGCTTATGTTTTTCTTATGTTGTTGCTTCAGCTTAAACATACTTGCCTATCCCTTCATTTCTCCTCTTTCTTTGTTTCCAAAGCAGTTGGTTAGGGAAGAGCCGAGCGCAGGGTGCTTAGAAGCAGGAGCAGCGAGCGCCACCTTCTCTGAGCATCCTGAAATGATCTATGGGAACCTGTTCTCTCACCAAATGCCTTTCCTTCAACTACTCCATGGAGCCATGCAAGCAGGGGAAGAGGAAGTCGAGCTCCATTTGCAACAGTATCAGTATCAGCACGAAGGTTTCTTCACTTCTTGCACGCAAGAATCCAACTTCCAGCTCCTCCTGCGGCTACAGGGCCAGAACTGCTTCAAGCAACTGCGAACGGCCGAGATGGACACGTCCCGAGTAGTGGAGCAGCTGGAAAGCTGCATTACCCACGCGTCCGAGTCGGAGACGAGAGGCGTGGTCCACCATAAAACGCCGGCGACCGTTGCCGCAACCGGACCAACGAGATCCGCGGCGGGAGTCGGGCCGAACGAGCGGCGGAAGAGGAAGAGGCCGCGGCAGGCTTCGACGTCGAAGAGTGTGCAGGAGGTGGAGAGCCAAAGGATGACCCATATTGCCGTGGAGCGCAACCGCCGGCGCCTCATGAACGACCACCTCGCTACCCTCCGCTCCCTCATGCCGTCTTCCTATGTCCACCGCGTACGCTTATAGTTCATAATTCGCAATCCCACCCTTCCCAGACAAGCTTCGACCTGATGTGTCTGCGTTGCTGCACACAGGGAGACCAGGCGTCCATCATCGGTGGTGCCATCGACTTCGTCAAGGAGCTCGAACAGCGCCTCCTCTCCCTTCGAACCCAGAAGCGGCTGCTGGAGTCGGCCGCCGTCCGATTGAGGCCCAACGACGACGAACCGCGCCACACGTCCGTGCTGCACGACGGGTTCTTCATCTCGCCGCAGTACACAGGCTATTCGCGGTCGCAGCAGCGACGGCGATACGCTAACGGAGAAGAAGCACAACAGGAGGATGGAACAGGGGTGGATGTGGAAGCGACGGTGGTGCAGGGGCATGTGAATTTGAAGGTGGCCACGCGGCGGCGGAGGGGGCAGCTGGCGCGGGCCATCGCGGCCATGGAGGAGCTCCGTCTCTCTGTGCTTCATCTCAACGTCGCCTCCCTCGAACCCTCCTCCATCCTGTACTCCCTCAGCCTGAAGGTCGGTTCACCATCTGCTCCCCGTTTCGTCTGCCATGTTAGACGTCGCGAACGCGAGCTGATGACTTCACTGTTTCTTCGGAGTGCAGATGGAGGAAGCGTGCAAGCTGGGGTCAGCGGATGAGGTTGCGACGGCGGTGCACCAGATCTTCAGCTACATCAACGCCTGCTGTTGACACGACGCTGAAGTTGTCAGGACGTACGAGACGCAAGAGAAAGGGAAAGGAAAGGGTCGAAGAGATGCTTGACTGGACCACGTCTACAATTCTTGAACTATGAGGAAGAGCGCAGCAGCAGCAGCAGTAGCAGTAGGAGCAGCTTTCCTTTCTTCTAATATATGCAGTGATGGGAGCTTGTACTCTTTGGGTTGCGGTTTTGCCAGCTTTTTCGCTGTTCGTTTTCAATTATTTTTTTGTCTTCGGGAAGAGATGCTGACATTTGGGCTCGCAAAGCGTTTCGAGTTTTCCTAATCATGATTGTAGCCCAATTCATCTCCTGGTATCTTAGTCGCTGTTCTTATGTCTGTAGCATTCTATTCCGCCCGCGTTTTAGATTAAGATGACAACCCTCCTCATGAGAGCAGTCTTCTTGTCTCAGGAACTTTTTACACACACACACACACGTATGCATTTGAGCTGAATAACCCACCTCTACTTCGACATGTATAGCAGCATATGCCATGCATCTCAAATTCCAGACATTTATCTTGATCTAATTGTGGAAAGGACCTACTTTAAGATAGGTAGCCATCGTTCTGTTCTCTCTCCGAGTATTGGTGCCACCATCTTCTCTTCTCGTGCTGCTGCAATAGGCCCTCCCTGTCTTCCGCAGACGCAACACCGTCCATTTCCGGAGCACTCCACTTGTACCCAACGCGTGCCTGTGTCTTTCGACCGCTTCTGCCGGTTCTCTCGCGCCATCAATCGACTGTTTGAGTTGAGCAAGCCAAACCCAAATTGCCGCTGTGGTCGAGCCCAAATTGTCGAAGACGAAGAGGATTCTACTCCGGACGAGGAAATGAGCGTCTCGGTAGACTCTACTGACTCGGAGCCTAGTGTTATTGACTTATCATCGATTTTAATGGATTTGGGGGAACTTTAGAGGCTGAGGCTACGTGCGGAAAGGAAGAAGGCTCGTAAACCGTGTTTGGAAAGGTTGATGAGGAAAAGACGTCGACTGCGGGTCAGAACAACTTTTTGTCTCGAGATCCTCGTTCTCTGGCTACAGTTGGATGACACTTGATGACTACTTTTTTTCTATTTTGAGCACCAAATTAAGTAATACAATTCCTACAGCATAATGACAGCATGGAGGCGTCTTAATTAGTCATTATGCATATATATTACGACATCGTGACCTATGTATATATATTATCAATTTTCTATTTCTTTAATGGGGTGGAGTGAGTTGAACTCTCTCTTAGTCACAAATTTGACAATGATAAACCTAACATGTATATGTTTTTTTTATTCAATTTAAAAGTTTATGCTTCTAGAGTATGAATGCATGATAAATTTGTGTGTGTGAGAGAGAGAGAGAGAGAGAGAGATATGGGTGGATGAGGCCTATGAAACTCTGCAGCCTGGCTTAGCCTGTCCTACACTTGGGCTGGGAATTGTACAACTTTTCGTTGGCTCATATATCTCATATGCAGCATTTGCACACGCATTTTCACTCTCAATTCCTTCACTTTCACCTTCACCCAAGTCTCCTTTCCAATGGCAGTATCTTAACCATGCCTTCATCGTCTCGGCCAATTGAGTTTTGTATCAGTTATCGTATCTGCTTCGCTGAAGCTGCCCATTGTACAATGCCTCTCGAGCCCTCTTTTTGATCTCAATATGTCATGAATATGTACATGATTTATATCATGTCATCATTTTTGGGCTCAAGAGGATGTGGTCGGATAATTGGGGAATATGATGCGCCAAGCTGAGACTCATAATTGGGTGTGATTTTGTAGGAAGTCCATAGTCGGCAGCTGTGGATGAAGAGCAGTGTTTTCTCACCCCTCATCTCGAAAGGACACACAAGCAATCTCCAGCAGAGTCCAGCGAGGTTGAACCACCATGGCCGAATTCTGCGTCAAAAGAATCGCCCGGTCTCCACTTCTTTCGTTGCCTGCATTCCACATGGTATGTTTCGCTGTTACCATGCCAAGATCCATTGACCAAGCTGGTAATGTTTCCGAAGCTTTGAGAACTATGTCCAGATGAAGATACTGATTGAAGCACACCTTCCTTATCCACACGCTACGCTTTGGAAAATTTCCATCGACTTAAGAATTATTTGTGCTCTTCGACTGGATTCTAGAGTCCTCTGCTCTTCGGTGGATTCTAAGCCGATCAAGTGCATCCCACACAAACGATTACAACAAAATCATTTCAGATCCTCTTACTCCACGCCACTACCAGATTGGAACAGGAAAATTCGGTGAAATAGATAAGACTAGTTCAAGAGAAAACAATGGTACAAGGGATGTGAGCAGTTCAGTGTAACAGATAACATAGTCAAAAGTAAACCCCCCACCACTAAAACAGCGCGTTCGTGGACTACATGATGGATACAACGAAAGCGCTCAGGTATTTGGGTAGACTGTGTCGCCAACGAACACCGTCGTCAGCGCCACCTGATGAGTGGTGACTACGTCACGTTGAGATGTTGCAGGCGGCACAGTCCACCTAAAATGCTTTCTCCCTTTTGAAAAGCTCCAGGCAGTGTTCGCCGTCCAAGTTTCTGCTCCAAAACTTCTTGTAGTACTCGTCGTATGTGTAGCGCCTATAAGTGGCTGGAGATCCCTCGCTGACGAGCTCCTCCGGAGGGCTAATGATCACGTTGTTGCAAGGACAGAGGAAGGATGCCACAGACATCCTTTCCTTGTTCGAGTTGACGACAGCTCGATGCCAAACGCTGTTGTACCTACCGTTGCTTAATGCCTGCATGAACAGATTTAATTGTCAGCTACTACTTGTCAAAGTTCCAGCGCCGACTGCTGATCTCAGATATGAGATGGGATGGCACTACAAGTACGTATTCATTATTAAGGAAGACCAACCCATTTTGTGAGTACATAATCCAAAGTTTAGGCTAGTGTTTTAGCTTCTTGAGTGCAGGATCGCCTAAGGCTATACTGTCAATGGCCGACTTTGGCCACCTCCAAAACAGTATGCTACACAGTTCGACTAAAGAGCAATGAAAAGAGAAACAGGGGTACTTCGGTGCAACAAAAGTGTGTGTGATCCATAGTCACCTGTAGCTGGTCACCGATGTTGATGACCAACGCGCTTGGCTTGGGATCCACTGCCATCCATTTGCCGTCCCTAAGAACCTGCAAGCCAGCCACATCAGAATCCTGGAGAAGAACAGTGAGGGCATTTGGATCAGTGTGGGCCGGCAGGCCATATGTGAGCTCAGGTTCCGGGCACTTCGGGTAGTAGTTGATGGCCATATGTTGCTCTTGCTCGCCCAGCGCCCTCTCGATGAAGTCCTCCTCCAGACCTAAGCTCAATGATATTGCTCCAAGGAGTCGGAATCCCAGTCCACGAACTTGCTGACAGTAAGTGCTAACCACTTCCCTGTGACGAGGAACAAGCTCTTCAAATTTGATCATCAAGAAATTAGACTATTCAATTAAGGCAATGTTTTAGTGCAGATCCCACTATTGAATGCATAGTTTCAGATGTTACCAATGTCGCTCCGTTGTCCTATTCTCTAACTCTGATTGGTTCCTTAGCATGTGCGAGCACATGCTCTGACGCTCGGTTCGAGTTGTTTTTGGCCTCACGTTTAATTGCCTATGAGTCCATAGTTAGTAAAGAAGCTTCTCTTCTCTCCCCGGGATGTGAAGGTCTTTTTGAGTACAATTAGGTTCCTATTCTTTTGATCAGTCTCGTACTGACTCAGATTTTGGGTTTCTTTTACGTCAAGAAATTTCATGGTCAAGTCCGTGTCAGATGACATCCCCAAGTTGATTTCCATGTTACCTTCGGCGTTTCAACAATATGGAAGCTGAAAAGCCGGAGGTAGACTCTATCCGGCCTCCTCGAGCAGACTTCACTGGCTCAATTCCCGTGAAGGGTCAACTCAAAGAACCGATGTTCTTCTCTAATGCATGCATGATGGTTCGATTCCTGTTGAAGGGTCAACTCAGAGAACAGAACCCATGTTCTTCTCTCATGCATGCATGATGGTTCAATTCCTGTGAAGAGTCGACTCAAAGAACCGATGTTCCTCTCTCGTGCATGCATGATTGCTCAATTCCTATGAGGGGTCAACTGAAAGAACCGATGTTCTTCTCTCATGCGTGCATGCTGCAAGTGCAAGGGATGTAAACGCCACGACATAATGCATGAATAGAATATATCGATTAGCTGCAAACCAATCTTTTAAAATCTATTGGAGCTTTCTTGAACTTCCTAGAGAACGGCGTTGACTAGATGTTATTCTACCACATGACTCCTCTCCCACTAAAGAGGATGAAGAGGAGGAGAAGCACGAAAGACTTACTTAAATGAGGAGGGATTAGAAGGCCAACCGGGAACATACTCCTCGAGAGGATAGCAGTGAAGCCGGAGGTAATCCCTCCAATTGTGAACCAACTCCTTTTTTACATTAAAGCTCGTCGAAAGTCTAATTTTCTTCGACGGGTCATCAGAATATAGCTTCGCCTTCTCCTCGGAAGGAAGACGGAAGAACTCCAGACCAGTAGTCATCATCTTCACCATCAGTTCAGTGTCAATTCCATGGTTCACAACCTATTTGTGCACAGAAAACCAGAAACGATGCTTGAGGGACGCAGTTGAGCAGCAAGGGAACAGTTACAAGCAGGTTATTGGAATTAGTAGACCTGGAAGAAGCCGTAGGATTGGCAGGCTTGGCCTATCCGAGAGATGATCTGGGCCTTGTCGGGGGAGCCGAGATCGATGATGGGGATGCTTGCGTCGGTGATCACTTGTGTGAGGCGAGGTCTTTGAGACTCTGGTCTTACGTAGTTCTCTGGAAGGGTATGGTGGTGTGTTGCGGTGGAGAGAAGCTGATCCGCCATGAGAGATGGTAGAGTGACAGAGAGAGAGAGAGAGAGCGAGAACACAGAAAGTTCTGCGAGAGGACCTTACGGAACTCGGGAAGAAGGTGAGGGGGAGCGCGAGAGGTTAGCAACTGCACCCATTTATGGTCCGCCTCCCGGAAAAGGTGTTGACTGAAGTGATGAGCCGGGCCCGCGACTGACGTAAGTAACCTGAAATTTTTGACGTCATAACCCACGCCATGTCATGACAGAGGGAAAAACCGTTTTCTTGATTTATTCTGCGGTCCGTGAAAAAATCGTTTTTGATCACGACCAGGTCATGAGCGACGCCACGTCACACCTCCGTCGAGTCAGCACGAGGGCAGACTTCCCACGTCAAACTGAAGCCTGTCAAATTGAAGCCTATATAAGGAGGCATCCCTTGGCAAATCTTGTCCTCGAAAGCTTGGAACGGTGCCGTATAGCGCCACTCCACGCATACCTGTTAGTTTGTCAAGTCCTATAGTTCCACATCGGGAAAATTAGACTTGTTGTCTCGTCTTGGAACTATAAATAAGGGCCTGGGCTTTGAAGTCAGACGTACCACAGGCAGCACAAGAGGCACCACAAGAAAACCTGCTTACGGTTTGGGTTAATTCTTGTTTAGTAAGCTGAAGGTGTTTTATGGCCTAGGAACATCTTCCTAAGGCATTTGTAAGTGTCCCTCTTTTATAGTAGTAATTTGCTCCTCTTTCTTCCGTGGATGTAGGTCAAAATCAATTGACCGAACCACGTATATCTGGTGTTCTGGTGTTTTGTTTGTTCTTGTCGCTTTTATTCTTTCCGCTTTATTGTCTTTGTTGTGTTACCAAAATTACCCTTTGGTAAATATCCTGGGGCTAGCTCTAACAAACTGGTATCAGAGCCTGGTTCTGGGATCTTTTGGCAACGATGACAATAACAAAGATTGTTGTCGAGAAATTCGACAGAAATGTCAACTTCAGCTTGTGGCAACTCAAGATGGAGGCCATTCTAGTTCAAGATGGAGTTGATTTGGTACTACAGGGAGCCGAGAGCATTCCAGATGATATGTCAAAAGAAGAGCTTGCGGGTATGGATAAGAAGGCCCGATCAAGCATCATTCTAAATCTCTCTGACGAGGTTTTACGGGAGGTAGCTACGGAGACTACGGCTAAGAGCATGTAGGACAAGCTTAAAGCCTTGTACATGAAGAGGACAGTGGAGAATCGTCTCTACTTGAAGCAGAGTCTGTATATGCTTCGGATGATTGAAGGTACATCTATACTATCGCATCTTGATAAGTTTGATTCTTTGGTTATGAATTTGGAGAATATAGATGCAAAAATTGATGATGAGGATAAGGCTTTGTTGCTCTTGTGTTCTCTTCCCCAATCTTTTAAGCATTTCCGTGATACTTTGATTTATGGAAAAGAAACAGTTTCTTATCAAGAAATTAAATCTGCACTGAAATCTAAGGAGCAGATAGACAGGAATATCACTGGGAAAAGTAGAGAGAATCAGGCTGAGGGTCTGGTTATTAGAGGGAGAATGGATAAAAGAGAATTTGACAATAGTAGATCTAAATCTAGATCTAAATCCAGACATAGAAATTTGGAATGCAGATATTGTCATAAAATGGGGCACATTAAATCTGATTGCTTTAAATTGAAAAATAAATTAAAGCAAAAGGAAAAATTTGTTGAGAAAACTATTGAATCTGTTGAAGTTAGTGTAGCAACTAATGAGATTGTTGGAAATATTTTTTCTGCTATTGATGACAGGACGATGTCTAAAAGTGAATGGATTTTAGATTCAGGTTGTTCTTATCACATGTGTCCCAATAGGGATTTGTTTTCCACATATGAATCTTGTAATGGTGGAATTGTTTTGATGGGCAATAATGCCGCATGTGATGTTGTTGGTAGAGGCACAATCCGAATTAAAATGCATGATGGTATTGTGAGGACGCTCACTAATGTTAGACATGTTCCTGATTTGAAAAAGAATCTCATCTCTTTAGGCACCCTAGAGGCCCTTGGGTGTAAATACACAGCTGAAGGTGGAGTTATGAAAGTTTCTAGAAGTGCCCTTATTATTATGAAAGCTTGTAGGTCTGGTAGCTTGTATATTCTGCAGGGAACTACTATCACAGGTTCAGTTGCAGTTTTGTCATCATCATTGTCTGATTCTGACATCACCAAATTATGGCATATGGGTTTGGGTCATATGAGCGAAAAAGGTTTGAGCATATTGAGCAAAAGAGGTCTACTTTGCGGACAGAGTACTGGGCCACTGGACTTTTGTGAACATTGCATTTTTGGAAAGCAGAAAAGAGTCAGCTTCAATTCTCCGGCAGTTCACAAAACGAAAGGTACTCTTGACTATATTCATTCAGACCTTTGGGGTCCAGCTCAAGTTCAGTCTAAGGGTGGTGCCAGGTATATGTTGACTTTCATTGATGATTATTCCAGGAAAGTTTGGGTTTATTTTCTGAAGCATAAAAATGATGTTTTTCTAACCTTTAAACAATGGAAGGCTTTGATTGAGAAGCAAACATGTAAACTGATTAAGCGGCTTCGAACAGATAATGGCATGGAATTTTGTGAAGGTGATTTTGAAGAATTATGCAAAAATGAAGGAATCGTTCGGCATCGCACTGTTAGGATGACGCCTCAGCAAAATGGTGTGGCCGAACGTATGAACAGAACACTCTTGGAGAGAGTGAGGTGTATGATCTCAAATGCAGGGTTGACAAAAGACTTTTGGGTAGAGGCGATTAATATGGTCTGTTACGTTGTCAACCGCGCTCCTTCTGCATCACTTAACTTTAAAACTCCGGAGGACGTTTGGTCAGGTACTCCTGCTGATTACTCTGATTTTAAAATTTTTGGGTGTCCTGCATACATGCATGTAAATGAAGGAAAATTAGAGCCTCGGGCTAAAAAGTGCATTTTCCTTGGGTATGCTTCTGGGGTGAAAGGATACAGATTATGGTGTCCTGATCCCAAATCCCCAAAATTTATAATCAGTAGAGATGTTACTTTTGATGAATTATCTATGTTATCTTCCAAAGAGGATTCTACTAGTTGTACAAATGATAGTGCGCAGAAGCAGGTGGAGCTTGAGATTGGTAGTTCAGATTCTTTTAAGTCGAACTCTTCTACTCAAAGAATGCCAGTAGATGGTCCCGAGTCTACTGACGCAGATAATCCAGAGGAAGAGCAATATTCCATAGCCAAGGATAGACCACGGAGAGAAATTCGACCACCACAAAGATATGCAAATTTGGTTGCATATGCTTTGTCTGTGGCAGAAGAAACAAGTGAAGTTGGTGAGCCTACTTCCTACTCAGATGCAGTTTCTTGTGATAACTCCGTTAAGTGGTTGATTGCAATGAATGAAGAAATTGAGTCTCTCCATCGGAATAGAACTTGGGATCTTATGAAGTCGCCTTCGGATATGAAAATTGTTGGATGCAAATGGGATACCATTGCTGAGGGAAAGGTCCTTGTTCAGAAAATTCATACGAAGGACAATCCAGTTGATATGCTTACGAAGCCTGTTTCAGTTTACAAGTTCAAGAATTGCTTGGACTTGGTTGGTATTCATTGTTGGTGATTGCCCGTTGGGGCTTTTGTGAAGAAGGTGGAGCAAGTTTTATTGGGACATGCCAAGGTGGAGATTTGTTAGTTTGTCAAGTCCCATAGTCTCACATCGGGAAAATTAGACTTGTTGTCTCGTCTTGGAACTATAAATAAGGGCCTGGGCTTTGAAGTTAGACGTACCACAGACAGCACAAGAGGCACCACAAGAAAACCTGCTTACGGTTTGGGTTAATTCTTGTTTAGTAAGCTGAAGGTGTTTTATGGCCTAGGAACATCTTCCTAAGGCATTTGTAAGTGTCCCTCTTTTATAGTAGTAATTTGCTCCTCTTTCTTCCGTGGATGTAGGTCAAAGTCAATTGATCGAACCACATATATCTGGTGTTCTGGTGTTTTGTTTGTTCTTGTCGCTTTTATTCTTTCCGCTTTATTGTCTTTGTTGTGTTGCCAAAATTACCCTTTGGTAAATATCCTGGGGCTAGCTCTAACAATACCGAGCAACGACTGTACGAAGGTACCATCTCGTCACTCGGGGGTCGACCATCGCACCAGGTCCACGTACGATCAATCCTCGAGCAGCAGTATTAAAACCCCTAGCCAGCACCTAGCCAAGAGAGGAGAAAAAGAAGACTATTGACTTAATCTACGACGGGCCTAAGTCGGGAACCTCCCCGACCAGGGCCTGTGTGCAGGAACTCGACCACCCCCGGAGGCGTAGCCGTCCCGACCCCTGATCTAGTCGGCTCCATCACTTCTTCCAACTGACCGAGAACTCCGGACATCGACCCGTGGACCAAGCCATGCTGACTCCTTAGCCTCGGCGCATAAGTTTACCAACATTTTGACACTAGAATGAGGACCGATGTCATAGGACCACCAATTAGGAGCTCACCCCGAGGTAGAACCACTAGCTGATCACCTCCCTTTCGGACTCGGTGATCAGCCCCTCCCAATCCTCAGGAATGGGGGCATCCCGACCCCGACGCCGGATCGCTACTAGCGCTTGTTCAATGACCCAGGACTCCCTCCCCCTGGATATACTGTGGGACCCTCGGTCGTTTCGCCCGAGGCGTTCCTCGACCTGGCCAAGCAAGTGCAAACCTCGGCGGAATGATGCAAATAATCGTCCCGCTCATCCCGTAGATCGTGCAGTCAGCAGCTCCCCTGACCGACCCTGCACCACAAAGGCCAAACGGGGAACAAGTTAGGATAGGAGAAGCTCGAGAGCAGATCGCAACCCTTAGAAACCTCCCCGAACATAGTGCCCCTACACCTCACCGAGCCGCTCCATCGCTCCTTGAGCCTGACACCTTATCATCAGACTCGGTGTATGACTCATTCATGGTCTAGCTATTTGTGGTCAACCGTCGCCTAGATGAGTTCCAGAGCGAATTCCAGAAGTCATGCGGCGAGACCGGGGAAAGCAGCTCGGGTGGATCCCCTTTTGCTTAAGAGATCCAGGACAAGCCTGTGCCGCTCAACTTTAGACT